CTTCCAAGAGAATTGGTGCTGGCTCCTACCCTGGGGTCTTTAAGAGGAGGCTTGATGTACACCTTGCTGAGGTCATTTGACCCCAGTACTCTTTCCTGCCATGGCAGGGGGTCGGACTCAATCTGCTCAGGTCCCTTCCAACCCTAGAAACTATGAAGCTATGAAATGTTCTAAGTATTCTGTTATATTGAAAGGTAGAAAATAGAGAAATTGCTTTTCCGCCTTTTGTCTCCTGTCTCTCTCTGTTGATGTTCCAGTGAAATGTTATTTATGATTTTACAAATTTGCTTGTTCTTTTTCAGATTAGAGTGCTTTTGATGGAACTTGAGGAAGCCAGAGGCAATCATGTGATTCGTGATGAAGAAGTGAGCTCTGCTGATATCAGTAGCTCCTCAGAAGTGATAACCCAGCATCTAGTCTCTTACAGAAATATTGAAGAACTTCAGCAGCAGAATCAACGTCTCCTGGTGGCTCTTCGGGAATTGGGGGAAGCCAGAGAAAAAGAAGAACAGGAAACAACTTCATCTAAGTAAATTTACTTTCCCTTTTGCACAAGAATGCTGTCAATCTGTATAGACAAAGTGATTTCAAGTTCCTGGGATGATAGTGTTGCCAACATTTTGATGGTAAAGACTTCACATTTAGTTATGTTATGGCTCAAGAAAATAGCCACAACTTAATTTCTTGTGTTAAAGTTGAAATCTGGATGCCTGGGAGAAAATCAAATCCAATGCACTGATCTCATCAATCAGTGGGCATACCCATGAAAGACAACTAACCTAGTGTCATAAACTTTTAAACAGATTCTTTCAATCTACTTTTATGTGTGAAGAAATGTGAGGGAATAAGGGAAGGATAATGCCTTCCTCCGTCCTGCCATTCACAAGACCTTGTCATCCACTTAAAACCTCCTAACCAGGGCTAGATTAATTGTTGGGGTTTTGGCAAGTGGTTAGAAATGATGTGAAGAAGACCCAAAGTGTCCCTTTCTGTATCCCAGGTAGTAATTCTCCTATAGCCAAGGCATGATGGGAGGATTTAGCTAACTAGTCAACTGATTATATAACTCTTCTACTCCTCAGATTTTGTTTCTCCTCCCAGATTTAGTGCTGCTTTTTTGTTCCTATTTTGCCATTTCCACCAAAGAACCTAAAATTGACGTAAAATGAAAACAGACAAGAATCCAAATAAGAGCAATAATATCTCTTGAGATTGTTTTTTGGACTTCGTGGATCTGACAGTCATCCTGTTTAAAGTCAGATCCATATTTTGTTCAAAGTTCCAATGATGAAAGTTAGTTACAAGGATAGACTTGAACAGCTTGTGATAAATGTGATAAATGAGAGCTTCTTTTAAAATATCATATTTGCTAACTATAATACTCTAATGCTACAATGCTGCAAATAAGAAAAAACTTCCTTTTCTTTAGAATTTCTGAGCTGCAGAGTCAACTTGAGGAGGCTCTCAATGAGCTAGAGAAGTTGCGTGAAGCACGTCATCTTCAAGTGCAGCTAGTTGATTCTATTGTTCGTCAGCGTGATATGTATCGTATATTGTTGGCACAGACCACAGGAGTTGTCATTCCAGTGCAAGGTAGGCTCCTGCTAGTAACTCAAATAAATAAGATTCCATGCTATTTCCACTCCTGTGCCCACCCCACCTTGCCTGCTCCCTCTGCATCAGTGCCTGTATCCCACCCCTGCACCTGCCTCTCCCCTTCCCACATTAGTGCCTGTCCCTTCCTACCATTTTCCCAGTCCCTTGCTGCTTACCCTGAATCATGGCTCTGGCTCTGACCTGGGGCATGGAGCATATGCTGGCTCCGCCTCTATCCTCCATGCCTATGTTAGGGCCATCCTGCCCACCCCTACTTGAGTCCAAGAAGAGGGACTTCTCTCCCCTTTCCCCCATTCAATACAGGAAGGGAGGAGACTCATCATCTTGGATTTGAATAAATATGGTACTTGCAATATTTTAGTGGTCAAAAGCTTTTGAAAATGAGGGTAGAGGACAGAGCACTTTTGAGTTTTTAGTTGGTGTAGAAGGTCTGCTCTTACCTAAGAGGCAATTGAGGACATGGGCCAAGTGACTCTGACACAATCTTTCCTTTTTTATACTTGGTATGTATTCCTTTTTATATTTGGTATATTTGGTTATTTTAAAATACAGCTGTTCTTATAAAGCTTCAGGTATGTTACCAGAAGAGATATCCTTTGCATCCACCCCAAAACGTTCAATAATGCCTCAGGCCATGTCAACTCCTGCTCCAGTATCAATGACTGAGTCCATAGAGGCAGCGGAAGCTAAAGCTGCACTTAAACAGGTATAGTTGTCTATATTTTTCAATTTAAAAAAATATTAAAGTTGTTTCAGCTTCTCTTTGGAACCACTCTACTTGACCTTTGTGTTCTGTAGTTGCAGGAAATTTTTGAGAACTACAAAAAAGAAAAGGCAGAAAATGACAAATTGCTAAATGAACAGAATGAAAAACTTCAGGAACAAGTCTCAGACTTGCGATCACAGAATGCTAAGATGTCTACACAACTTGAATTTGCTTCCAAACGGTAAATTGATTTTTATTTTTCCCATGACTCGTACGTCATTTGTATGCCTTCCATTTGAGGAGGAAACAGGCATGCTGATTGGTGTTAGGAGTACTGCGTGTTTGATACGAGCTGGTAAGAGTGTATTAGTGTTAATAGTTAAGAGTGGTTGCTGCATGCAGTCCAAATCAAATAAAACAGGTTAAGTTCAATTGTACAAAAAGCAACTCCATAGGAGACAGTGCTTTACTACTAAGAAAAGGCTAATGTTGCTTAATCCAAAATAGGATTCATACTTGATTCTCCATTAAAACAAAACAAAGCTCTAAGCTGGGGAAGAACTCAAAAGAATTTTGGATTTATAATTTTAAATGTAATGGGTTAAAGCCAGAGACAGATGCCTCCAAACTCTAGTCTTTGGTAGGGATGTAAATTATTATTTTAAAAAGTATCTGTTTAACCTCCTCTAATTTATATTGGTTAAACAGTTAACTGATAACACAGCAGCTCTGACATGGTTACTGCTGGAAGCTGCTCCCCAGGGCCTTTGACAGTAAGGGGGAAGAGGTGGCAGGTCCCACCAGACAGTACAGCCCAGGTGAAGCCGTTGGTGTCAGCAGTAGGCAAAGGGCTTTCCAAGGCCATAGCAGCCACTAGCTCACTGGCAGGTAGGGAGTACCTGTGAAGGAGCAGCTAATTGGTCATATGATTAGTCATTGGGCTGCCCCCTGTTTTCAGGCATGGCTGTTGTGATTCCCTCTGAACTAATCTCCATTGGTACTTTTTTAATGCTGATTAAAAATAGAAAGTGAGGGGGCAACATTTTTTTTATGTTCAGTGGATCTTTTACTAGGCTGTCTCTGTAAATCACACTTCAAACTGTTGTATGTAGGCATGATGTACTGATGTATGGAAGCATCTTGTAATTCAGATTGTCATTTAACTTAGAAATACAAATGTCTTTTCTATTGTCGTTTGTGAAGTTATGAGATGCTGCAGGATAATGTTGAAAGTTATCGTCGAGAAATAACATCTCTACATGAAAGAACCCAAAAGCTTACGGCAACAACTCAGAAACATGAGCAAATAATTAATACCATGACACAGGACTTGAGAGGAGCTAATGAAAAACTTGCAGTGGCAGAGGTGATTAGCACATTTTGCATGTTCTCAAACATTTAGAGTAAATAGCGTGAGAGAGAAAACGTCTCCTATACTGTCTTGAAAACTGATATAACTTGAATAGAGTATACTACCTATTCAGCAAACCAGCTGAAATCTTAGAATCCCAATAGGCTATATGTCTACATTTCTTAATTGCGTGGTGTTTGTAAAAATATTGATATATCGTTGGCGTGGGGAGAACCTCATTTACCAAGTGTCTTCTGTGCGTTTTCTGAGGTTTTCCATGTTAATTCAGAATCTATTTACATAGAGAAAAGGGGGATATAATTTAATATTTGTGAGCTTGCTAAACTTTTAATTCCTTTACTGTTTTCTTAATTTAGTTTCTTAAACTTCTGAAATCTGAGCCAAGTTATATTTTTTTAAAGAGCTTGACCAATTCTTTGTAATGTATATTACATTAATTAAGCGTGTTTAATTTGCTTTTTTTTTAAAAGTTATGTCATAGAGATGAACACGGTTTTGCCCAGTTTTACTGAATGCACACATTTATTGTCAAGTTCCTGAATTTCTATTTCTAATTCACTCTGTTAAGGTAAGAGCAGAAAACTTGAAAAAAGAGAAGGATATTTTGAAGATGTCTGAAGTTCGCCTGACTCAGCAACGAGAATCTTATTTAGCTGAACAAAGAGGACAGAACTTGCTGCTAACTAATCTACGAGCTATTCAGGTATAGTGAAACGATACCAAAAAAGGATAAATGGGTAGATGCAAAAACTTGGTCTGAGCCCAGTGTCCAATATGATCTTTGACTCCAAAGCATTTAAGCAGTAACCTTTGTTTCAAACTATAAACAAACATTAGCCATCTTTCCATTTTCATTCAGGGTAATAATACTGTGTTATCAATATGGATACAGTCTGTGTCCTTTTCAAAATAAGGGATTTTTTTCCCTATTCTGTGACAATACATCTATTAAAATTTAACTGACTGAAATTGTTGATCAGATCAAGGAACTCATTCCGTTAACTCTGTCTTGATTCTGATTGCTACTGGCCCACCAATTTTATGGTTCCTTCCTATGCTTAAATTGTTGAATGGTTGCCACGTAAGTAAACATTCAAAGCAACATCACTGACTTTTTCTAAGTTGTGTTTGCATTTCCTTGTTTAACGATATGTCATCTTTTAAAGCTCTTGCAGCTTTATTTTTGTAGTTACTAGAAATCTTATTGAAGAAAAGATTACACAAGCAATATTTAATAGATTTTTTTCAAAACAAGTTTTACACTAGGTTGATATGTCATGGTGTAACAATTAAAATTACAGAGCAGTGTAGTTTTTTTGGGGGTGGCAGGAGTAGTACCTGACTAATTTGTATTAAGTAATGTTAATCAGTTTTCTGAATTGTTATACATTGTAGCAAATATTTTTTGCTCTTTCATTAGGCAATATTGGAGAGATCTGAGACGGAGACTAAACAAAGGCTCAGTAATCAAATAGAGAAACTAGAACGTGAGATATCCCAGCTAAAGAAAAAACTGGAAAGTGAGGTGGAACAAAGGCATGCACTTACCAAAAATCAAGATGTGAGTACCAATAGAAAGTGGTAACGACTTTTTTCTATTTCTTCTAAAGCAAAAAGATTGCTTAAGCTTTTCTTAACTTACCAAGATCTACATACAAATCTTTAATTGTTAAATACAAAAAGAGAGCAATTATTTTGAGCGCTTGTAATATTTCATAAATTCAAGACTGCTGCCTTTACAGGTTCATCTGTTGGATCTTAAAAGACAGCTTGAGACTGAAACAAGCCGTCACCTTAACACAAAGGAGCTTTTGAAAAATGCCCAGAAAGAGATTTCCACACTGAAGCAGCAGCTCAATAATACTGAAGCCCTGCTAGCCTCCCAATCATCACAGAGAGCTCCTGGGAAAGGTAATAAGAAATAGTAACATAATCTAATATTTACTATGCTTAAAAGGTTCTCATGGATAAGACTAGAATGTGTTGGGTCCAATGTTGTGCATGTGAATGCAGGTGCACAGTACTTGAAATTAGGCAACAGCTTCATGATTTGTATTGTGTTCTTCACCCAGAATCTGACTAAGTGCAAAAATTCAGAAGACTTAACAGGTCAAAACAACAAAGTGATCTCTCCTGCATATTTGAAGAAGTACTTAGATATGTACTGCATTTTAAAATGCATCATATTACATTTTTCTCCATTGTTAAGTTTGTTGCCTGGACTACATGCCATTTATGTTATGCTGGAAAGCAGGCAAATGGCGGGTAGAGGTGGGGCAGGACAGAGGCAGCTGGGTGGGGTGGGCCAGGCAACAGCTACAGCCACACCAGCTACCTGCCCCCTCCCTTCTTCCTCCCCACACTACCTATTACAGTAGAGTCTCATCTTACACAAGGGTTAGGTTCTAAAGTCAGCACGTAAGGCGAAAATGGCATATAGTCAAAATTACCCTGGGGCTTGCCCAATGGTACAGTCTGCTCCCTCCCCCATCCAGTGGTACAGTCCCTCCTTCCCGCCCAGGGCAGCCTGCACCAAACTCCTGCCTGGCCAGCATGCACAGCTTCCCAGCAGGGCTGTTCCCAATGTAGCTGCTTGGCCCCATGCACAGTGCTGCGGGGGGCAGCTGCAGGCTAAATCCAAACAATTGGCACTCCGGGGCATACATGTATGATGAATTTGCGTAAGTTAAATGCACGTATGATGCGACTCTGCTGTACTCAAATCCAAGATGAGGGGCTTTTTCCCCCTTTTTGGTGTGGGACAAAAGCTGCATCTTGGGTTCAAGTAAATATCTTTTTATTTCATTCCTCTCCTGCAACACCCTATAAAAGTTAGTATGCATGAAAAGGTTTATATGAACTTGCTTCCTGTTCAATTTTATACTTCTCTGCTTGCCCGTGTATCTTCAGAAATTGTAAATTGCACATAATTTCAATCTTAAAAATGTAATCCTAGTTTTATACATTAAACTGTGTTTTGGTATTGTAGGGCAGACTAGTACCAATGAGGATGTGGATGATCTTGTAAGTCAGCTAAGGCAAGCTGAGGAACAAGTTAACGATCTGAAAGAAAGATTGAAGACTACTTCTAGTAATGTGGAACAGTACAGAGCTATGGTCCTTAGTCTTGAAGAATCCCTTAATAAGGAGAAACAGGTACATACTGACATGTCGTTGGCCATCAAATTACTTTACTAAATATTGCTATAAGTCCTGTTCCCGTTTTTCCTTTCTTTTGCTTGTGAGTACCGCAGCATGTATAGTATTATGGAGAAGTGGCACAGGCTATATTACCTCTCAGTGTATTCTAGAGTAATGGAATTTAAATTCCTTATCAGTGGGTACATCTGCACTTTACTGTAGAGTAGACCAATTAGCTTAGTAGTAAAGCATCACAGTCTGTATGTGCACGGGCATTAGGGCACAGTAAACTAATTAATTCCACTGTCGGATGGTACTGTCAAGGACAGTACTGTGTTGTGGTGGGGTACTTTACTGCACCAAAATGCATGTGTAGATGCTTATCGTGGGCACATATATTGTGCCTAGTCAGCTCAGCTAGCTGTGCCCTGGCATGTGTAGATGCTGTACCCAGGAGCAGTTGACTCCAGCTTCATTTGCTCCAGAGCTTATTGTATAACATTAATCACACATGTGGATGCACCCAGTCTCTCACATACATGTACCTCTGTCAATCTTCATAGTCTGAGTTCTTATATTTAATTTTGTTTAATATGACTGAATGTAAATTTGAATTAAGATTGGAGTTTGTGCTGAAGTGTTGTTCCCCGCACCCCCACCCTGGCCTGTATAAAAAGAAAATGCCCTCAAGAACAAGGTAAATGTATTACTGTGGCAGGATCATTAGAAATACAGGCATTGCAAACCAATGTGAGATAATTATAAGCATACCATATTCAATGGACTAACTATCCCTCAAGAAACAAAATCTTTGTAGGACACGTGCACATTTTCTTCTATCGAGTACATTGCTGCCTAAACTGAAAATATACCCTGTCCTCAAATAATTTCAGTAGGTGTCTAAAATCTTTTATCACCAGACAAGGTTATGTATTTTCTATTAAAATTGTGGTATGTGACATTGAACTGTCCTTTTACTGAGCATCCAGTTGTCTTCCCATCCAGTATTTTGCTGTTGCAAACACTGCATTATGGTGCAGTTGTTTGTAAAGTTGAATCTGGAGTAAACAGCCTATTATTTAGCTGGCGTATGTTTTAAACGAGTTACATGAAACTGGGCTTTAATACTGGATTACTTTCAAAATACACATTTTCACCATTATCCATGCTTTCTGTTGTCATCCAATAACCATTGGATTGAAATGGGAGGATACATATCTTGATGTAAAATGGATATTATTTGAATAATATCTGTGAGGCATAACATCTACATTCTTATTTAAGAAAATTGTTCAATTTAAGCAGTTTTTGTCATGTATTTTGATATGCACAGGTGTAATTAAGTTATTACTTTAAACTCTTGCTGTTGTGGCTTTTGATACAGGTGACAGAAGAAGTTCGTGCAACTGTTGAAGTCCGTCTAAAGGACTCCTCTGAGTATCAGGCCCAGCTGGAAAAGAAGCTGATGGAGGCAGAGAAGGAAAAACAAGAACTTCAAGATGAGAAACGTAAAGCTGTAGAGAGCATGGAGCAACAGGTACAACACATTGGACCTTCACTTTTCCTATAGATGTCCTTCACATTTTCTATAGATGGTGTAAAATACATTTTTGCCAATTGTGGTGTTTAGTGGTAATGCATTATGCCTTTTTTTTTTTTTTTAAGGAGAGTAGGTGAATTTGAAGGACATTAAGTGGATATAATGTATTAAAACTTGTTTCTATTCTCTTGAACTTTGAGCAGTGCATAAAGAGTAGAAAATTGACATGTCAGCCAAAACCAGCTTATTCTATGGGTGTGCCAAAACATGAGCACTCAGGGCAGCTCCAGTTATTCTAATCACAGCATTGCCTTTTTTTGCATGATAAAGACACTGTTCCATGTGCACAGCTACACATGCATACATCAGGCTGTCAGGAGGAGGGAAAAGGGACTAACAGCTTGCACTGCCACTGCTGACCATGCTAAGCTCTTGCTGGTCAGCAGCACCACTGAAAAAATTGGATAAGTCTAAGGAATCATCCCCAGGATCCCCGAGTTTTCCTGGAGAAGAAATCTGGGATTGAAGGGGAAATCTTCCCATCAGTTCTCCCAACCTGTGCATGGAGCTGGAGAAATCCTGCCAGGCTAGAGCAGACCCTGGGTCTCCAGAGTAGCAGCAAGGGGAGAAGGAGGGAGGGGTTCCCCCCCACCCCCATTCTTCCCTGCACAAGCTCAGGGAGCTGGGGACAGTGTCTGGCCACAGTGCTGCCTGGCTTGCTGACAAGCAGCAAACGCAGGGGATTACTCCTGCAGGCCTTCCCTCCCTCCCCACAATGTTCCAGTATGGCAGGGGCATCCTTACTTATCTGCTCTGAGTTCACATAAGGGTTGGGTGGGGGTGGGGAGGGTATTTCTCCTGCTGGGTGCTGCTAGGTAGGGAGAATGAATGTAGGGTTTAGAACTATGCAGGGGCAGAGGTTTCCTCCTTGTTGTATTTTCGAGACGTTTATACTAGAAATGGAACAATGCACCCTGGGATGCCGGAGGACCAGGAAATTGCTGTCACACAATGTATTCCTTTCTACACATACAAATTAAAGCTGGATAACAATCAGCTGTAAATGTACATTTTCAAAGTCTAACTTTATAATTGGTTGGAGCTTTATAGCTGATTGTAGCTCGTTAGGTGCTTCAATGATTAAAGGCCCAGGTTGAAGGGTACAATAACTTTTATCCTTCAATGTATGACATCCTAAAAAAGTAAACCATGAATAAACCAAAACCTTTCAGAGGTTTTCTTCATTGGATTATAGCTGCTTTAAATGCATACCTTGGTTCTCTACTTCATTTAAACATGCTCAAAGCTCTTACCAGTTCACTGTGTCTTAAAATACGCTGACAGTATTCAATATTGTGTACCCCCGCTCTCCTTCTTACAGCTGTCTGAACTGAAGAAGAGCCTCACTGCCGTGCAATCTGAAGTCCAGGAATCTCTTCAGAGGGCCAGCACAGCCTTAAATAATGAACAGCAAGCCAGACGAGACTGTCAGGAACAAGTACGTTTAGACTGTTTTAGCTGCATGTAGCACAAATGAGAATCCTATGATGAGAGGACATTTGCATATTTGTTTTTGACACACAAAGAAAATAGAAAAAGTCCTTTTCTGATTTGTAATTTTAATGTTTACTTTGTGTGTGTACAAGCTGCAGTAATTATAGGGAGACCAATAGTTTTACCAGTCCTGTGAAAAATAAGATTATCGTGAAGTAACTGTCCATTTTTAAAGTGGAACTTGGTCCCATTTTATTTTTTTTATAACTGTTTCTATTCCAAGTAACCCTTTTAGATAGGAGGAAACATTCCAGGTTGGCACTAACCTGAATTAGGAATTTAATTGCCAGCTTTCCATGTCTGCCAACACTTAGACTGAATCAGTCTTTCTCTGATTTCCCCCTCCTCCACCCCACTCCTTTATACATTTCCTTCTCCACATTTGACTTCCAATAGAATTGGCAGAAATACATGATAGTTCTTGTATCTTAGCAATGCAGAATTTAATAGGAGAGGACTAATGGGAAGGTATCTAAAAAGCTCTTGTTCTTCAGTCTACTGGAGCTCTACTATGATCCTTGGGTGAATAAGCAAGGTATCTTTTTCAGAGTCCTTTCAGGGTAGGGTGTTTGCTCAGGACCAAAACAGCCTTGGTTGGTCTCTTGAGTGGCCCCCAAAGCTATCCTAGACATGACTTCTAAGGTAAGGGGAGCCCTGGCTCCTCCTTACTCTGAGATCCTGGTCTTTCTGTCCTTTACTGTACCAGGTTCTCCATGGCCCTGACACAGGGAGCTAACATTTGATTCTGCTCCTGAGAGAGAGACTTGACCTCTTATTGAAGAAAACAAGTTCAACCTAAACTTCCAAGCAGCAAACGGGCACTGTTTCAATAAAGTCTTTTTAATAAGGCAAAGGCTACCTAGCCATAGATTCTCTCTTTGCCCCCCCC